CCTTTCTCCTCTACTTATAGCCTTAAAGAGATGTACTCCTAATCCCATTAGGAATTTCCTAATCCAAATCTTGTATTTGGATCTAGACTCTCTTTAAGAGATAAGGATAATCCCTTATCTTATTTGCAGATAAAGATCAAGCCTCATAATCTAATTAGTAATTTCCTGATCCAAATCTTTATTTGGATCTGGATTCCCTAAGTGGATAGGGATAATCCATTATCCTATCTACTGATCTAAATCTCAGAACCACCCCTCTTTAATTAATCTAATTAAGCCAGTTCGAATTGGGCTTTAGGCTCATTAAGTCCATGTGCTCACTTATCTTCCAAACTACTGCTCAGTTGAATATTCTTGTATGGCGTGGGATCCAAACATTGATCTACACATCAGCCACATGAATTCAACCCAACCTCTATTATAAGGCCTAGCCAAATTCACTGTATGAGACAGTGAACCCCTGAATCCATCACCATAGGCTCTTAATAAGCCCAACATTTACACTAAATGGTCATTGGGTCAAGCCACCTTATAAAAACCCAAGGACTGGGGGTAAATGTAAGATTAGTTCATCAGGTATTATCCTCAATGGTCTTACACTTAACCTCTCAACCCATAATGATCAAACACTGCCCGACAAGAGAGAACCTCTCCCTCGGCTGCAAGGAACAATGCTGCACTCTCTACTCACATGGATCTTGGGAATTAAAACATTTTACAAACATTTTGAAACTATAATATATATATATATATATATATTTTGCAAAACAAATTTCAACGATTGAAATCGGCTGCCGGTAGTCTTGGTTTCTATCAGAGAAAGTGCATCCCCGATCATTACCTTTGTCTGACAAAAGGGCTGATCCTATCACTATGATCACCCACTTAGATGAATTCTCGGACTGTCCCAACATACCCAGGTTTTGAACCCTCTAAGGATCTCACTGATTGGCATATCAAAGACAGTCCAATCCAACACCTAGTGCAGTATCATAATCGAGTCTAGGGGTCAGGTGTAACATTCTAGTTTTGCCCATCTATCTCCAAGGTCCAACGCAATACTGGAATTCTGATCCGATTCAGGGTTTCAAGAAAAACCCACACTACATATACCTCAGGTCTCACCCTGGCAGCTAAGACAAGCCACCCCAACCAACTTGGCGACACATCAATGTCAACTCTGGCAGGATAAATCTCCCCAGATCTATCCAACAGTTGTGAAGATTCTAAACTAACACGAGTCTCATAAGTGTCCAGTTTAAAGGTATTACACAGAAACACACTATAATAACATAAATCAGATATGTACTTTATTTATTTACATTAAATGTCATAATGTACATCATTCTAATTGGAGCTAAGGGCATACACTGTCTAACATACATATTGAAAATGATGATAATGTAAACTTATTAGTAGGTCATTCATTTCCAAGCATATGGCAGCATGTCTAGAAATCTCATAAGCTTTGGAGATCCCACCATTGCAATAAACAATTCCATCATCCCTTAAGGAGAATGGACGAGAATAGTGCATTAAGGAATCATGTGAAACATGCATTGGCATCTATCACACACTTAAAAGCACATTCTGTATTATTGGATTTATCGAGTGTTTCATCGAAAGTTTTAAGCATAGACTACTCTTACATGGAAGAATGTCTCTCGCCTTTCAAAAGAGCAATTATGTTATATCAACCACAAGACCTCTGTCAAGTTTTCAAAATGTTCTACCAAGGCTTTTCAAATTCCTTTTAAAGAACATATGTGTTTGTGTTTCGATTGTGCTTCACAATATGTTCAAGTATTTTATTCCTAAATCACTCTCATTGTTTTCTTTTGTTTAGTTGTTTATGCCTTTGATTGCATTGCAGCATATTGCACTTTTTTAATAGTTCAAAAATTGCATCATGGAATATAATGACTTTTTGCTTGTTTCTCGACAAATAATAGATTTCTGATTGCATCACGGCATATCGTGTATTTTTTAATAGTTTAAAAATTGTGTAATGGCATATCATGACTCTTCGTTGATTTTCCAGCATACAGTGGATTTTCCGTCTTATGTTACAACTTAACTTATTTTTACCATGTCATAAAACAATTTTCATTACTTGTTAGAAAGAAAATGTATTTCCTTATTTGCGCCATAATTTATCGCGCTTTACTATGTTTTGATATGTCTAACAAGCATTGTATCCTTCCCAAGGACACACCTTTCCTCAGGAATCAAGCAATCATGCAACAATAAAATGGCCTGAACATGATGAAACAATGTTGCATGGGAACTCCTTTCCATCTTAATCTTCCTTCCTCGTTCTGCCCCTCTTCCAAACCTATTCTTCGCAAAAATCTTTGTGTACTTCTTTTGCTCTTTGTTGTTTCATAGTTTCCTACCTCACAACAAAGAGGGGCAGTTGTTAGCATCCAATTTTTTCTCGGTCTACCACCTGAACCTCCATTTAACCCTGAACCTCCAATTAGACCATTCAGAAACACCCAAAAACCCAAAAAACCAAACTTTAAACCTAAAAACACTCAGATCCACCGTTAAACCTGTCCTATACCTATCTGACGGCTCCGATTAACCCCCACTTACGCTTCAACCATTAGATCTTACACATCCATGAGACCCATAACCTCCCAAAACACCTGCCTATAAAGTTTTAACCCTAGATTCCCCCATTGATCGTCTATCAAAAAAAGATTCTGTTTCGAAACATCCCGTTGACCCAAATTCCTACAATCTTGACACTCCAAACTGATCAGGCCTCACCATCAGATCCCAGACACCCCCAAATACCCACCTGTAAAATTTCAGCCCCAAACACCTCCATTTACCTTCAATCACACATTTCATTTCGAGTGTACGGATTAACCAAATCGAACCCTCTCCAGATCTTCCCAATTTGGGCCTATTTGGGCCAATCTAGCCCTACCAATCAACTCGGAATGTCCAAAAACCCTACCCTGTGAAATCTCATCCTAAAACACCCTCATTTACCCTTTCATCTAAAAAGATTCTGTTTTGATCAATCTCATTGGTCTGCACGCATCAAAACCCTTCTCAACCATTAGACCCATCTCAACCCCCCATTTTTTTTACCCGAAACCACCAAATATTGAAACAGGAACCCAGTCTGAGCCCTTGGACCTGTTTGACCCAATTTTCTCAAAATTACAAAAACACCCCCAAATTTTCCTAAATTTATAAAATTATCTCTTAGCCCTAATATAAATTCTAACCTAACTCTTTATTTTCCCTAATCCGAAACTATTCCTCTTCTTCCCCGTTCGAACCCAAACACAGAGCGGCGAGCAGCGACAATCTCCCCTTCGTTCGAACCCAACCGAGTGGCAGCAGCAACCAACCATCTCCCTTTCTCTCTTCTCCTCCCCTTGCTTCTTCTTCCTCTCCTCCTTTTCAAATCACTTAGAGAAACACTGTTCATCTTCGTTTTTCCTTAGAGACCGAATACAAACAACAACACTTTCTTCTCTAGTTTCCCTCTTCAGCGACTTCTTCATCAAAAAGAGCAATTCCTTCAATTCTCCATACATGTCCACCTCCAAGCAAACCATTGCAATTAACCCCGGAGATACGTTCCGATCTGTTGAAGTATGTCTCTAGAATTTGTCTTACTTTCAACAGACCTCTGTTTACATTCCGCAAAAGTCATGGCTGCTCAAAGTCTCTTCCAACATTTTGGTTACTCCCCTCGGTGCATCAATCATCCGAGTTATTAGTCACAAATTACAGCAAATCGGCATTTCCCCTGTGTCGCCCATTAAATTCAGTTGAATGAGAAAGATGAGAAGCTTCGAATCCTAATACATAACCCCTATGGTTCGATCCTTGTCTCCATTTGGATAGAGCCATCAACAACAGTAACAACTCTATTGCATCGCTTATTTTCATTCATAGATTCAAGGAAGTCATCTACTTCTACAACACTGCTCGACTTCTATCATATTCCTTCTGCAGTGGTCTACCTTCCCTACTTCATCAATCCATTTGCTCCGTCGACTACTGATTTCCACTTGTTTTCTTTGGTTGTGTTTGACTATTTTCTTCATATCTCTAATTGAGAGGAAAGAGACCGAGCTATTTCAAACTCCAGTAAATCTAGGTATCAGCCCAGATTGTTTTATTCAATTCCCCTCTTTTAGATATGCAGATTTCATTTGAATTAGTAGTTTTATTTTGTTTCTTGTTTTTTTATTTTTTTGTATTATTTTTTAAATTGAATCTATTAGTTGAATCTCAGTTCTCTCGATCAGTAGTTTTTGTTAATTCTATATCAAATTTCAAAGTTCCTTCAAATAGAATAGTTGAAAATAATGAATACTAGTTGATCATTTGGTTCCATCTGTTCACATGTGTTTTATGTTTTTTTTTCCATAATGGATAATTTAATACTAGATTTTGTTATGCCAGTTGAGTCAAATAGCTGTATGGTTTCATTTTTGAAATAGATGAAATAAGGATTATTAGTTGATTAATGGCAAAGTAATCATAATGATAATAGATAAATAAATAGATGGTGTGTGATTCTTGTGTTAGTTTATTCTTGTTTTGTCTCACTTGGTAGTGTATTCTTAATTAATTGAAGTAGTATTTGTTCGTGCTCGTGCTTGAATGAAATTCCCATTTAGGCTTCACTGATTGGACCCGAGAAAGGGGTGCCTAATCCCTTCCCCCTCCCATCCGAATCTTACCCAAACTGGTTTAGACTAGTGCCTTGGGTTTTAGAGTCACTATTAAAACAAGGCATTTTAAAAATCATTCTCGAATGTCCCATCACCTCCATTTCCATAACTGATGGGCGGCAACTCCATTTCAACCCAAGTGGCAAAGTGAACTGTTTTCCGATGCTCACAACATTCTAGGTGGTGATTGATTTGCATCCCCTAAATGACACTTGTTCACTAGTTGGAACACATGCATGGACATGTGTACCATCTATAACTCCAACACAATTTTGCAAAGAGAGGAAGAAATGCAAAAGTTTTGTTATTATGGTATATTGAGAAGTAAAACACCCCACAATTAAAATAATTTACCTCAAACCATGGATAATACTTCGGATTATTGAGAATTTGTGGTGGAACAACTGTCATATCATTAGGTTGAACAATTTCTTTGTCAAACTCACAGATGGCTTTCAAAGCATTGTTAAAGTGTCGTGAAATTGTTTCACTAGAATGCTGAAAATGGTCTATGGAATTCCGGTTTGATTTGTTGTGCCCTATCACTTGCAATAGAATCCCAACCTGTTCATCGGCTGATACATATCGACTGTCTTTCACTAACCCTCTCGGTCTCAATGAGGCCACTAATCAAAGAAACACTATTGGTGTCAGTATAAACATATCCAATGATCTAGTGCCACCATTGTAGATGACATTCTTTAAATATTCTAACCTCATCAATATGTCATCATGGTAGGGTGTCCTAGGAATTGGCATCTCTTCTTTCTTCAATTCTCTCGCAATGAGGACATTTGTCATCACCCATTGCTCTTCATCATCAGCTACAACAATTAAAACTTCTTGCAACACTGCCATCTTGTCTGCGTTGTCAACCATTTTGATCTGGCATATGAATAACGAATGACTATAAGATACCTATCAAGTTTGGATATTGATGTCGAATGACATATCTCATGGTGGTGACCCATAAGCATACATTGACATCTACATAATGACAATCAAACACATGTTTCCCGTAACCTACAATACCATCCCTTTGATGGTGCATATGGGAAAAAGAAACATACATAAAAATATACCCGTCCATTCATTAATCATCAACCTGCCTCAAGCCCATAATCTTATCTCAAACATGTGACATATATCCATACATATCTACCCAATGCATCCATTCACCATGTACCTATGTCAAGTGTAATCATCAAGGAAAAAAAGCATACAATTAAGAGCAAATAAAACTGCATTCATCATACATCTCTCCCTAATCCATTCATTCACCATGTACCTATATACCCATAACAACAAATGAGAACAAATAAACCTACATTCACCAACATCTACATCCATTCAACATATAACTATTATAACCATAACAAAAAATGAGAGGAAAAATATATAAACCTGTCTTCACAATATGTATATATCAAACCATCCATTTACCATCAAAAAAGCAAACCACCAAGTCATATGTATTTCAAGTTTAACCATCCAAACAACCATTTTCTCGTACAAAAACCAATCAAAAGCTACTAGTCAACTTTTTGAAAGTCAAACAACTACCATGTTCAACGATTTATGACACTAATCACCCAATTCTTCCTGAGGATGGGGGGCATGTTCAGAAACCACTCTCTTGTATCTAGGTTTTGGAAAACCTCATATAGCTTGGCATAATCATTATGATCAAGCCCTTCAATGGTGTTCACCTCTGCTAACACATAGGACATGGATGTTGGGCTATCTGCCCTCATTTTCAATCCATTTATTGCCTCCACCAGCCTATCAAACCTCTTAATAGCTTATGTACTCTGATTAGCAATTACTTCACAAAACTTTGAAGGTCTCTTCCTACGTGGAGTTTTGGTGCTTGTAGCAGAAACATGGTCAGTGTCAACATTGCCTAATTGATCAACTCCTACTGATGGTTGTTGGATCTCATCAACAGGTGGGTCAGTTATGATTTTTCCCTCATCTCGGCGAGAGGACTCTACACCTCATGCCAATGATGCTAAAAACCTTCTAGTGGGTGTTGTTCCCCCAAATATGACCTCTAGGTTGTTATACTCTAAGCAACCCACATTACAAAACCTTTTGGCCTTAGGATTAGCCTATAAAAAAAGGCATTGGGACACCAATCAATTTATAGGTAACGTATTGAATTTAAAAATTTTAAATAAAAAATCACATATGTTTAGCAAATACCAATAAATAGTTATCCCATGTCTCTGGTGAGGCTACAATCATTTGCTTCTCTTCATCCCAACCAAATCAGGTTTGCCCAAACCTCAGCTTTGTAAATTCCTTATATACCTACTCTATAAATCTTGTATCCTATTACTAAATGATTTCATATTGAACTTCAGCCCAAATTGTGTGAAAAAGCTCTACCTCACCTCTTTCCAAGCAACTTGTTTCAGACAACCTGCTACCATCCCCCCACTCTGGACTTGTTGTACAAGTAAATCTATGAAAACATTTTCTTGTGCAGGTGTCCAGATTGCACTTGTGGTGGGGGCATTTTCATATGATACATGTTAGACACTGTATGCCCTTAGCTCCAATCAGATTGATGTAGATTATGACATTTATTGTAAATGAATAAAGTACATATTTGATTCATGTTATAGTGGTGTGTTTCTATGTAATACCCTTAAACTGGACACTTATGAGACTCGTGTTAGTTTAGAATGTTCACAACCATTGGATAAGTCTAGAGAGATTTATCCAGCTAAGGCTAACACTAATGTGCCGCCAAGTGTTGGGGTAACCTTTCTCAGCTGTCAGGGTGAGACCCGAGGTACATGCAGTGTAGGTTTACTTGAAACCCTGAACCGGACCAGATTTCCAGTATTGCTCTGGACTTTGGTGATTAGTGGGCAAAACTAGAAAGTTACACCTGACCCCTAGACTCGATTATGATACTGCACTAGGTGTCGGATTGGGTTGTCTTTAATATGCCAATCAGTGAAATCCTTACAGGGGGTCAAAACATGGGTATGTTGGGACAATCCGAGAATTCATCTGAGTGGGTGATCATAGTGACATGATCAGCCCCTTTGTCGGACAAAGGTAATGATCGGGAATGCACTTTCTCTGTTGGAAACCAATACTGCTAACAGCCGATTTCAATCGTTGAAATTTGTTTTACAAAATATATTTTATATACAGTTATAAATATATATATATATATATATTATGGTTTCAAAATGTTTGCAAAATGTTTTAATTCCTAGGATCCATGTGAGTAGAGAGTGCAACACTGTTCTTTGCAGCCGAGAGAGAGGCCATCTCTTGTCGGGCAGTGTATGATCATTATGGGCTGAGAGGTTAAGTGTAAAACCATTGAGGGTAATACCTGATGGGCTAATCTTTCATCTGCCCACAGTCTCTGGGTTTTTATAAGGTGGCTTGGCCTAGGGACCACTTAGTGTAAGTGTTGGGCCCATTAGGAATCCATGTGATGGGCTCAGGGGGTGTACTGTTCATAACATTGTATTCGACCAGGCCTTGTAACAAAGGCTGGGCTGAACCCATGTGGCTGATGTGTAGATCAATGTTTTGGTCCCACGCCATACAAAGAAGCCCAACTAGGCAATAGTTTAGAAGCATACTAAGCACTAAAACTTCATGGGCCTAAAGCCCATTTCGAACTAGACTGATTTGATCAGTTAAATTAAGGGGTGGATCTGAGATTAGATTAACAGATAGGATAGGGTCTTAACTCTATCCACTCAGAGAGTCTAGATCTAAATGAGATTTAGATCTGAAAACCTCCTAATAAGATTAGGAGATGGCTGATCTAATCTACAAATTAGATAAGGGTCTACCCTTATCACTTAAAGGGAATTCAGATCCAAATATGATTTGGATCAACAACTCCTAATGGGATTAGGAGTTGATCCCTTTAAGGTTATAAAAGGAAGAGGGGGTGGCAGCCTATAAGAAAATCACATCCTCAATTTCAGAGCAAGAGTTACAGAAGAGATAATAGCATCCAGTGAGACTGCGTTATTTTCTCCTTGCCGCCTCTTTCCTGCCGCCGCCATAACTGCCAGTTCAATCTCCTCTTTCAAGCGGGAACGATCAAGATTGGATCTTGATATCAACCTTTGGAGAAAGGCTGATCTGAAGTTGTGCTCACCGCCTCCAGTGAATTCTTGTGAAGGGTTCGGTTCGTTGGACGAACACTACTGGTTCTGCTCCATCATTCATTGTGTCATCTTCAGTGGGAACAGTCTTTGGAGTGTTTCTTTGGGCGTGAATACCTTCGCCGGAAGATATTGTTTCTCCGTATCAGGTATATCCCATCCTGCTTTTGGTTTCAGATTTGGTTCAGTTTAAGTTTCAAGATTGATCATTGAAAATACAGATTTTTTAAACCAGGGAATGTGATTCCCATATGAGGGGAGAGGAAATTTTTGAAATTTCGCCCAACCTACCTGCAGGGTTCGACCATCCATATGATGGATTTCTCATTCCTTCAATACATTAGTTACACTATTTACCATCTAGTCATCATCAAATAATCTTTTGGTTATTGACACAATTTTGTAAAAATTTCCATAAGAATATCCAAGATACGGTTGAGACACGGATGGTATTGACATTCAATCACTTTTTGCCAATCAACTAATACAAAATACAAGGTTTGATGGTTGTACGAGTCACCTGAAGTAGCTATTCCCTTCTGTAGTCCGTAAGTGGATAAGATTTATGATCCTCCAAGCAATAACAATAGTACTTTGATAGCTTCAGCAAATTGCTAGTACAACCCACATTAATCAATATGTACAAATCATACACTAAATAACAAAGCAATAAAGAAACTCGTAGAATAAAACAAACACGTGCTTGTTGCTAGTGTATATAACTTCTGCATAAGTCATTCATATTTGTCCATCCCTCTCTATACCTCTCAATCCTTTATGTCCCTCACTCTCTAACAACCATACACTCTTTCTTATCTCACCCCCCATCTCCTTGTCTATCCCTCATACTATTTCAATGTCTCTCTAACTCTTCTATCTCCACATCTCTATCTCTTACCCTATAGATCAACCACATACCCCTCTCTCCCTAAATCTATCTCCACATCTCTCTCTCACTCTCTCCCTCCCCCTCACTAACTCTCTCCATCCATAAGCTACATGCCCACCACCATTCAGTCACGTTATAACACAATAACAGTCATCATGATCCTATTATCATAATAGATGTTTGGTGATGGTATGATTATAGTATCATAGCAATCCTAGTTATACTCACTGTATTCTACTTGGTAATAAAACTTTTTTTGGTGGCTTATTGATGTGATTTTCTATACCTTTGTAGTAACTTGGTTATTATTTTCATGGCATTGCAGGTGGTTCAGTTAAATCAAAGCATGTAAGGTTAGTATTGTGCTCCCATGTTTGGAGTCAATAACCTTCCTAGTGTTGATATGAAAATAGTTGTATTGTTTTTTTTTAGCCTTAAGAAATAAGAAATATTATTCTGCACTACTGTAATATAAGTGAGTTTGTGCATGTATGTATATCTGAGAACTCATTGTCTCCGATATCTGAGAGCAGAACCTGGTGATAGTGTACAAGTTGATGAGCCAATTTCTTTGTTCATTATTGGCAATTTGTAGGTAAGGAAGGCTAGCTACCTATAGTTCCATTGACTTGAATCCAATTAATAGATGTAATGTGAAGAAAATTAAAATAAAAAAAAAAGAAAATTGCTTCTAATATACAATAGTTAAACCAAGATAAGAAAATTTCTTTGTTCATTATTGGCAACTTACATATTATGAAGATCTCTCTTGTATTTGATTAATTTCTTTGTTCATTATTTGGCAGTTTGTAGGTAAGGAAGGCTAGCTACCTATAGTGCCATTGATTTGAATCCAATTAATAGATGTAATGTGAAGAAAATGAAAATTAAAAAAAAAAAAGAAAATTGCTTCTAATGTACAACAGTTAAACCAAGATAAGAAAATCATATACAGGACTATAACCTCTGCTTAAAATGACTTGCATATTATGAAGATCTCTCTTGTATAGCCTCCTYTGTGACTGTAAATCTTAAGCCAAAAGCCATCCATCCATTATCAGAACATTATAGATGAATATAAGCATAAAAAAAACCAGTGATTTCCATATCAAACCACAGACCACATTACAGATGACATATAAACACACACAAAAAAAAAAAACAGTGATTCCTATATCAAAGGATAGACCACACTACAGATGAATATAAATACAAAAAAAAAAGAAAAAATCAGTGGTTCACATTAACCCATATCAAACCACAAACCACATTATAGATGACATATAAGCACAAAAAAATCAGTGATTCCCATAACAAAGCACAGACCACACTATAGATGAATATAAAAACAGAAAAAAAAAAAATCAGTGGTTCACATCAATCCATACGTAACACAACAAATTTGACTAGCAAGAAAATGGAATTGATTTGAGATGGACCTACGCAAATAACAACCGATGAAACAAAAAAAAGCCCTAACAATACATATTAGGATGTGAGTTATACCTACACAAACCACCAACCAAATGACGGACGACCGCCGCCGCGAGAAAAACAAGCACCGAGTGAATTGTAATCTCCTGTAAAAAGGGGGAAAATAATTAGTGGAATAGGGTGTGGTGAAGGCGGCGGTGGAAGAGAGACGAAGCAGGGGAGATAAAGGATGGAAGCAGCGGCGAAGGAGAAGAAGAAGAAGAAGAAGAAGAAGAAGAAGAAGAAGAAGGTGGAGGAAGAGGGGGAAGCAAAAGAGCGAACTTGAGTTACGACCTAAGAGAGATGCATGTGCAATGAGGTTTTTGGGGGGTTTTCATTAAGAGGCTATTGTTCATAAAATTCGCGTGTAAGCTTCAAACACGTATGGCGAAGCTCCTAGAGGGCGTAAAAGCCCAAAAGCTATGATCTAGCTTCCCTTAATCAAGAATTTAAATATTGATATAATACATTTGATATGGGGTGTATTGTATTGGTGTCGGTTAGTAACGATACGAGATATGTTATGAATACAAGCGTATCCCATTAATTGTTCATACTAAAAGGATACGGGTGCATATCGGCCTGTATCACATTGTATCTGTCATACGCATGATACACATTGCGTCTATTTAGTAATTTCCATTAAAAGTGCAAATGAATTGATTCAAACTCGAATCACCTCACGCGCATTTAGAATTTGCTACATTTCTAAACCAGTAAGTCACGCGTCATTTTGTGATATAAAGTAAAATAAAATAAATTTTATTTAACTTTTTCTGTTCACGTGCAATTTAAATAAAAACACATATTTATATTTAACAATTCTAAATAAAAATTAAAAATATTATTTTATAAACTAATAGAATAAATAATGTATCAAATCCACATTTATATAAAAAGATGATTTTTAATATCAAGAAATTTATACAAGCATAATATTAATAATAGAATAATTATTTTAAAACTTAAAATTTATAAATTTGCACATGATATAAATCTTAAATTTTTTATATACTTTTTTTAGTTATTAACTAATATTTTAATTTACATTAATAAGTAATAACACCATATTTATTATTTACAAAAAAAATAAAAATATTATATACAAAATATTGAAGAATATAATATTAAATTGAATCTATCAAATCCACTAATCTACATTTATTTCAAAAAATGATTTTTTATTTCATAAAAATTATATAAATAAAAATATTAATAATGGAATAATTATTTTAGTAAATAAAAACTATAAATTTGTATATGATATGCATCTTCAAAATTTTAACAAATTTGATATTCTTTAAGTTAAGATTATAATTATTATTTGATATTTTAATTTGCACTTGAAAATTTAATATTTAGTTGACTTTTCTTAAGGTTAAAAAATTAAAATAGTAAAATAAAAAATAATTGATATAATAATTAAAATATAATAGGTGCATATGTTTAGTGTCTTGGACTCTTGAGTGATGCACTATAAACAAAATTATGCATCCCAGTTCATTAATCATAATATATTTCTTCATATATATATATATCCTTAATATTTACATTTTTATGTATATATAATATTTTGTGATCATTTTGATCTTAAATTTAGTGTTATTAATATATTTATGAAATTTGTATGTATTTCCCTAGCATATCCATGCGTTTCCATCTTTTTTGTCCGTATCCATGTGTTTCCAAAACATATCCATATCTGTATCTGAGTCATCCGATACAATACTCGATACCGATACTTTAATCCCTACCTGAAATCAACCCAAAATGGGTTTCTCGCGTCTTTTCAGCACTCCATCTTTTGGTGGCTAAATCTTTTGTGAACCAAACGGGAATAGACTAAAAACCGGTCTTCCGGACTTCTAAATAGATGAAAGACCATGTGAAAAGACATGCAAAACAGGCCCTTAATTCTAAGGTTAAAAGAGTTGGGTTGAACTTCAAAATCTAGGATGTTTTGGTGAACTAGGTTTAGTTGGGGGCATCTAAACTTGAGTCTAGAGCTCAGTTTTGAATGGGGGATTTAATGAGAGGTATTTTGAGAAGATTTTATGTACAATTTTAAGGGGTGAAATATCATCTTTTAGTTATGTTCGAAATCTTAAATATTCAAGGACAATTTCAATCTTCCTTGAATATCTTCTAGTTTGTTTGCATTCTAGACTCGAGATTCTAGATTCCAAGTCATTTTATTTTGGGATCTTTTGCTTGGTATAATGGCCATTTGAGTTTGGTTTCTTTTAGTAGGCCAAGTATCCCTCCAAATATCCCTCTTTCCATCATTTAGTGCCAGAAATTTCTGGTAGCTTACTTGAACTGTTCAATTGATTCTTGTTGGTTTCTCTTTGGTTCAACAACTTTCTACAAGGCATATCTTGAATATTTTTTAGGAGTTTTGATCTCCTAACACTTGCATTCAAGATCTTTGTTGATTAGGGCGTTAATAGTTATTGTTTAAAAGTAATTATGGAAATAGATAAATCAAAGTTCATTTCATGAAGTGTGATGGTTTGAACTATAGAATGTGGTGTTTCCAATTCTAGGGTTGTATGCTATGCATTTATTTTACTTTATTTTATTTCTTTTTGTGATGGGCCTTATGATCTTTATGTAGGTTGTTTGGTATTTTGCCCACTAATTAGGGGCATTTATATAATTGTATATATCTTTGCCCCATTTAATAAAACTAGGTCTTTGAGGATGGAGGCATTCAGCCATTTATTCGATACGCTCTTCTTCTTCATCCTAGTTGCATGCATGAAATCCTAGAAGGTAACGGTAATCTCACCCTCAAATAAAAAGCAAATCGATTGTTATTACTTGTAAGTTTTCCATTCTTTTCTTTCTATATTCTGAAAACCCCACCCTTTTGTTTTACTTTTACAGCGGATAATTATGATTTAGTTTATTAATTTTCAAAAGAAAAGAAAGATTATCAGATAAGTAAATGATGGTTGAAGAGTAGTGATCTATGCTTCACTGTAAGATATTATTATAATTATGACATCTGCTGCAAGATTTATCTATACATTGTTAGCAATCATCTACATTAACAATTCAGAATCAAACTATCTTTACAATGCCAATACTGAAAAAAAAAAGAAAAAAAAACTATCTTTACAACGCTGAAAAGAAATAGTGGCCGTTCTGTTCGAATGCCAGATCATAGGCAATGTAGCTCAAATTTGAAGTTCAGAGTTGCAGTAAATTTGAAATTTTTGTTTAAGAGTGATATCTCTTATCTGCCCCAAATAGAAAATATCAATTTACTAGCAATCGTGGAATGAAGCCCCATTGGCTGTATGCAACTTGCAGAAGAGACTCAAATCTCAAGTGTCCACAACCTGGGAATTGCCTTGATCTGAGACAGGATGATCCTCAGAATTAAAGTAAGTAGTAGTTTCACTGGCATTATTCAAGATGGTTCCATCATCACCACCATATTCAGATGTTGAGCTGGCATCCATCTCCTTTCCCAGACTCTCAAGTTGCACACACTCTGCTACTGGACTCTGAGAAAAAGCATGAGAACTTTCAGAATCATGAACCCTGTGTGGCAGAGTCAAGTCTTCCTTCTTCACGACATTGAATACAATTCCATTATGAATTCTTTCAGGTTGCAAGAGATCTCCTTCAGTCACCATGATGCTATTAGAAGAAGTTCTAGTAATTACCTCTCGCTGATCAAACTCTGCATCTGAGTTCCTGTCTGGTGTTGTTACCCTGGAGCTATTATAATATGGCTCCTTGCCCACCATCTGAATTACAATAGAATTGGAGTGAACCGTCAAACCTTTCATCTCGTCTTCCTTGACTGAGGGCTTGCTCAGTTCTGCATCAGTGTCCAAACTTTGAACAAATTCGATGAACAAATTTGCCGAAGTTGTCCTCATCAGGGGCCCACCAGATCTTGTCCAAGAATTGAAGTCCACAGTCTCTGAATCACTATCACTTCCATCATGTACACTACGGTGGGCTCTGAAGTTCCGGCCTGATGTCCCTCCTGTGTTTACAAGAGCACCTTGATGCAACGAGGATGCAACATCTGAGAAGAATTCTTCATCAAGGGACCCTGTTGAGTTCTCTCGTGCAAGGCAATTCCATGAGGGAATCCTTCTGGAAGCATTGAACCTAACTGTGTTAGCCAAACCATGCGAAGCAGCAGCTCTCTCTGCACTCCTCTTGAGCCTACGCATGTGGTTGAGAATTGCAACACACTCATCCAGTGCAAGTTCAATACCACAGTTCGCTTTTATGGCAGAGAGTTTTTCCCAAGTGCACCTCCTGCCCTGATTAGCAGCCTTTTGGAGCTCCACATGAGATGGGTTCTGTATAATTTTTGAGTACTATAAAAGAGAACACATAAGGAAAATAAAGAGCTATGTTAATATACAGATTCAAAAAGTTTATTCTGAATCAATCTGCATATTGCAAATCAAATAAACAGAACACTATGGACACAAATATAGCATAAACTACAAGAACTTAATATCTATACCTGTGCAAGTGTGGCAGGCATAACAACTGTAACATCACCCTCCCATTCTTGGGCAAACAGCTTGGCAAGTCCTCCCAGTGGAAAACCAACTTCCAGGACCTGGTTGCATCTATGCTTGACCTCCATTTCCACAAGATGTGCAAGCTACACATGTAAAAAGATTGAATTAACAAACAACCACTTACTAATAACAAAATCACAGAGAAGAATGTACAACCGCTATATATATATATATATATAAAGATATATTATATATGAAGGCATAGAAAACCAAAAACTATACATGCAGATCAGTTGGAATGATATGATACAATGCTCTAATTAATTAGGAGGCTTCAAGCAATATTAAGCACTATCATTTTCTAACTATGTTACCGATCTTTCAAGGCTTAAGCTAGGAGATGGAAGGTCAAATGGATATTGGATAGATTAACGAAGATTTTCCATGTAATCTGATCTTGAATTCTAAGTATTCTGATTTGCACTCCAACATAGGCATAGGCATATTTACCACATTGTGTCAACAAATAAAACTAGCATGTTCTCTTTGCACTACATATACAGAACCCTTCCACCCTCCCTGATGTAGGAAGTTACTCATGAATCAATTGTAACAAAACCCATACTAGCTAATATACCATCCAAGCATTTCAATTATCTCCATCCCCCTTATTTATTTTTGAGAATCTTCAATATGCTTTAATATCTGTGAAATGGTTTATAGAAAGTTAAGTATAAAGCCATAAAAAACGGTAAAGACCACCAGAGAACATAAAAGTCAAGCCCTTCAAAATACCTTGGCAGCAAAGTCACCTCCATAAGCCCTGACAAGCTCCTTTATTCTCAATAGTGGTACTATATGAGGATTTGCCTGACTGACAATGAAATGATTAACATTAAACAGCTCCTTCAGCTGCATCATGGGTAAATCACTCTCCAAGCTACCATCCCTCCACCTGCGTGTTGATGTACGATGACCTTCTTCTGGATCCATATGAAATGGTGGGTGGTAAGGAACAAGTTCACCACTTCTATCTTTTGCCATCAGTTCCTGAGCCTCAAACAAACCAGGAAAAGCGCAAGAAGCGGTTACAGCACTCCATATAACTACATGAGGTGATGTTAAATAGTTAAGGCACCTGGGAGGCTCATGCTTCCTTGGGGAGCAAACTGTGATCCCAAGAATACGACCTGTCATGTCATATGCCTCTTGGAATGTCAAGTTATTTGTGAGACGCCTTAGTAATATCTGCAACTGTCTTATCTCATGAACGGCCCCTTGTGTCATAACCCTTTTAACAACAGCAAAAATTCCACCCATCTGGTCAAAAAACTTCAATGAGTGCCATGAATCCTCAAAGAAGCTTTGAAGCTCAGGCCAAGACCTTGTGGCAACAACGGAACACATGATGGATCCCACACTAGAGCCTGCAATTATCCGCGGCAAAAGCTTATGCTCCACCAGTGTCTTCACTACGCCCACATGAAAAGCCCCCAGTGACGCACCACCACTCAGGAGCAATGCTGTCCTCCCAAAGGCATGTCTTGTCTCGTGCATGAAAGTAAGCTTCTCTTCCAAGAGGAGCTCCTCAGAGTCCGAGTCACAAACCATTCTCAACTGAGTAGAGACCTCATCAATGTACTCCTGTATCAGCTTGGGCACCTGAAGCCTGCCCTTGTGGAGTTCTGGGTTGCACATATTACCCAGGTTCCTGATCAAATCAGCACGCATACAAAAGATTATATCTCTGAGAGAACCCTCCTGACGACGGTGTCGAAGCTCTTGGAGTTTATTCCTTACCAGTTCTTCATCATAAAGATCTGATTCATTCCTCTTGGGAGTCTCCTTATCAAGCATCTTAGCTGCATGCGCCCACTCGTCATATGTCAAGGCAGCTCTCATCATATTCCGCCAAAATTTCCTCCTGTAAGCCATCTCTGCCTTCTGTTTAACATTTGTGTATCTCTTCAACATAAAAGCTATGAGTGTCACCAAGACCAATATACCTTGTGGATTGCCGGGATGAAACCAGGAAATTGCGGGTGCCACAAAGTCCCTGAGTCGACAGATCAAAATCCATAGAAAATAGAAGGTTTGCTGCCTTAATTGCGATACCGAATTGCAGAACAAGATTCTGAAAGCAATGGTCCGCCCGATAATCGTTGAAGGTCCGATTGAGAATGGAACAACTCTGGCTTCATTACTGATATCCATATCTTATGGAGAAAAATAAAAAATGTTGTGGGCACCAAGCAAACCCAATTGTGCCAATCTCAAAAAGGAAAAGAGAAGAAAAGGATCGTAAGAAGCTCTATCCAAAAACTACGATTGATCAGGGAATTCAAAATTCCTGAAAATGCTGAGATTTCAGAGCACGATCAAAGGTGGCAATTCTCTCAATCATTTAATAAGAAGAAAAAGAAATGATTCTCAAAGACCACCCAGTATGAGTTCTCAAACTCTAATTTGCAGAATCAACCACCAGAAATGGAGAAGGTGAATATTCCCAGATTCTTAACAATTAGAGAGAGAAACAATCATAGGTAATACGGGTTTCACCCCCAAAACTATGAACTATCTTTTGCCGTATAACCAGAAAAAATAGGCTCCGGTCTCAACGTGCGCCTGGATTAACAGAAAACGATGAATAATTCAGGAGAAAAAAGAATTCAGAAGGATTGATTCATATACCCAAAATTGCCAATTGGGTTTCTAATAAAATGTATTGAAATTAAGTTGATTGACCGCCGAAATCTACTATTTGCACAATTTCTTACGAAGATCAAGAACAAGACGACCAATTTCGACTCAAAATCGGTAAAGGGTAAACTCAATAAACCCAGAAAACAAAAATCAGATTAACTTGAAAGTTGAAACCCACGAGAGATATAGAAAGAAAAGAAGAAAAACACGCAGACAAATGGAGAGAAAAGATGATTCCAACCCGAACCAGAATCGAATTTAAGAAATTTTAGAAATTAGGGAAACGACGGACGAGATAACGGAAAGCAAATCATACGTCGATCCGATTCAGCAAGGAGAGAGATTGAGATAAGGGACAAGGTCCCTCTGCTACCGGACAAAACTTCAATCGTCCAATGACTTCAAAGTCCAAACCTTCTATTATTTTATAAATAATATAAAATAAACCAACCAACGAACCTGAAAAACCTAATTGATGGTTGGCAACGATGAACCAGAATTGCCGATTTGCAAGCAAAAGAATTCTAAGAGAAAACGAAAAATCAGATTTTCAGACGACCCTTCTAATCCATTCCTAATGAACCGCGCCTGTAATTTAGAGAGAGAGAATTGGATAAATAGAGAAAGAGATCAGTTGGTTTATCATCTGATGTTTTTTGACGAGTACTCAAAATTCAGAAAATCAAATTTCAATGAGTGAGAGAGAGACAGTAAAAGTTTATTAATGTTATCACGTATTGAACTTTTTGATTGCTTGATACGTTTCTGAATTTCCGTTGACGTGAAGCTTGAAAAGAATGGATGACAAAGACAAAGCTGCACACTTGGCGTAGTTTGATTGAGTTTCAGATGCCTGAAATTCGGGGTGATTTTGCTTAAAATTCCAACTCTCAGGAAAAAGCGGATTTGGCTCTCTGAATTGGACAGTCTGGGCTGTCGACGGGCTCTCTCTGCATAACACGTTACATGTTAGTTCACACAGACTCCAGTGTCGTAACTTCAACTAACGTGTGTGATGCACGTGTTGAGTGCTTTTAGGAAGGTAGGGCCGTAGGGGGTGAATGGGTGCTGATGGGACGCGCCGGTCCCGGGCTGGGCTTAGCACTTATGAAAGATTTATAGCCAAGTCCTGGACCAGGTTCTGGGCCTGTAATTTTAATTATGAAATATTAAATTATGCATATATAGCATATTATAAATAATGCTGTATTTTTAATATATACAATAAAGTATTAGGCTGAGGCCTGACTCAAAAATTTGGAATTTATAAGCCGGGCTGAAAATCATCACTTTATGTTTGACAACACTTCAGTCTTTGACTTGATTGGAGTGAATGGGGCCAAGTCTTGTGAGCTCATCCATTTTTATAAAAAGGTTATAATAGGAAACTTTCATACACTTTTTGAACTTTGTTTTAAATTTATATTAACTTATATTTAAATACACACAAAAAAAGACATGGGTTGAAGATATACTATGAAAATGCTTAGATATTGTATTAGGTATTGTGTGAGCTCATAAGACTATAAAAATGCATACAAATCATATAAATATATTAATAATATTAAATTTAAAGTTGAATTATCTATGAATTGGTTTGGATTTTTGGTTTTTGATGATCACCCATAGGTGTATCGTGCCGATATGCACAATCAATGTTAAGAAAACCTAATTGAATTCTCCTATTGGATCTATTGAACCATGACCTAGGAACTTGGTCGGTTTGTCTTACCCTAATAACTGCTTTTGCTAAAATCCGATGAAATGGTCCTAGTTTCATGAAACCACCTACGTCTTTAACCAAATAAAATTTTAAAATGTGTTTATCAAGATTTAAACCCATAACCTCTTATTTTCATATTTTACTTAATTACCATTAGTTCACCTCTTAACTTGTGTAAATTAATGACTCTTCATTGTATATATTACTTTATTACACATGTATTTTAAAGAAAATGTAAATTAAGAAACTTAAACCCTAATTATTTGCTTTAAAAACTGAGGAACTTTCCATCCATACACCATATTTAAGTATATTAAAAGTTGTAAAATATATTATATAGTATTTATATGGGAATTGGATCTACTCCTTACACTTGGGCACCTCACATGCACATCAATCATGGATTGGGAACATCTCCTGTGAAAAATAACTTACAAGTACAGGAAATGTTCCCAATGCATGGTAGAATGTGCGTGTGAGGAGCAGATCCGGTCTTATTTATATGACCTATATGTATGTGTATGTGTGTATGTATATGCCACGTCATCATGGTTCAACCCAGACAAACTTCTAACCTATAAACCTCTCCCTTTTTTAATTTTATGACTGGTCTTGTTCTCTAAACACTGTGCACAATTCATGGGATATATATATATATATACCCAGTTGTGGTGTAACCAAATAAGATACGCCCCCGTATTAGGAGCATTGGTATTGATACTTCAAAACTTAGAAGTAATTTAAATGCTCATAATTCAACATTGGACATGATGCTAAAAAGAATGAACGAAAAAAATAAAATATATGTAGCTGGCTCCATATAATTGCGACAAACGTTTAATGGTGATAATGACAACACATCAGGAGGAGTTTACATTTCCTACATGCAAAAACTCTGCACATACAAGCATTCAACTCCACATCACAAATATCGATGTTTCCAATGTACGACTAGATATTGCCATCCTTTTGGAGTGTGTAGAGTTTTTCCTTGCAAGAAATGGCATTACCTTCAAGGGTAGCTATACTCCAAGGAATTGAATATTCTTTTGATCAATTATTGGATTTTCAATACCTTAGACCCCCTTGTCAATCATTTGCCACATTAGACAAATAATGGTATTTGTAAAATTACAATAATGCCCCTTTATTCAAATCTACCCTTCAAACTAAAATTCTTAAAATAGGTTCATCATTCACTTGCATTGAATTGTTAGTCACTATGAGATGAGTGAACATGAAATAGGAGAGAGAAATAAACTAGGTGTTTTTGTCATATAAAAATTAGTTAATAGGGCAGACTATTTAGCAAGGGATAACTTGGGGCTCCAAATGGATCAAATAGGGGTATATACAAAATTCGATCCAATAAGAATTTGAGAGATCCACATTCATTTCAATATTCCATAGATATGTAAAGCATAGATTTGAACTCCATTCGCTAACATATTTTTATAAATGATTTTATTTTATTTGTTGAAGATTTGATCAGAATATTAATGACTATATAAAATTAGCATAAAATTACAAAATTTCAGTTAGTGTGGGTTCCATGGTAAGTTTAGCCAATTTCCCCAAGCAAGATTTTGGCAACTTACTCAGGAAAGTCATACCTATCTCATGGGTGGATTAATTATTTACCTAATTAATATTTCCCAGCAAAAGAACATAGGTAATTGTACTTACCCAAGTAACACTTGGGTAAATGCACTTACCCAAGTAACACTCGGGTAAATGCATTTGCCTAGGTAAGTAACTTGCAAAGAACGAGGCTTTGGAGATGAAGTGTTAGTTGTTTGTATCATGAACTATGGATCTAAATAAAGAAGGGAATTTGATAAAAAAAATACAAACAACTTTAATTACAGGTAATTTTATGTTTTGGGTTTGGAATTCCATGGATAAATAGAATTTAGAAGTGGGCAAAACACTTAAATCAACGTTTTCATATGAATTTCAATGTTCTAAGGCTCCATTTGTTTGTAATTTAATTTCATTTGCATATTGTACAAATGCATGTGAGTACAAATTAGAAGAGTAAATTCCACTTCACTTTTTTTTCTTTGAATTTTATTTTACTTTGAGTTTAAGTTATATTTTACTTCAAAGCACACAAATGAATAAAATGAAAAAATAAAAATAAAAATAAAACAAAACAAAAATAAAATTAAAAAAATTACATTCAACTCATTTACATTCCCATACTTTTTGCACCGATGCAAATGGAATTGCATTGTAAACACACTAGGTAGGTTTAATTATTTGGCATCCTTGGTAGTGAACAAGGATTTGAATTCAATTCTTTCTATGGTCTTAGATTAGTTGAGTTTATTCAGTTAGGTCTTATTAAGTGCTCTAGATATAGGCAAGGACAAGCTTTTTTCCTTTTTTTGGTACAAAGTGTTTGGTTTGTGTCTTATTTTTCAACCCTTAGATTAGATTGTAATCCAATGGTTGGTGTGGTCCCTCCTTTAGGTTAAGGTTGGTTTTACATGTAAAAGTTTTTTTTTTTAATTTTGTATTTTCATATGGGGTTTAAATTGTGCTCTTTTCCTTTTGGGGGAGGAGAGAAAGAGGGGTTGAGAGAAAAAGAGTGCTCTTGGTGTGAAAGTGTTTTTTTTCTAACTCTTTGGTTTGAGAGTAGAAAGGGAGGAGCATACAAAGGTTAAGGGTAAGGTTTAAAGTATCAATACATTCGACACCATGAAACATCATTTTCTTTTAGTTTCTTCTTAAAATTGGTAAAGAGGTTGGTCTTAGGTTTGCCTATCCCTTAAAAATGCCCAAAATCACAAACCCTTTGTAGTTTCAAAAGCTTTTCGATTGATATACTATATATGATATGGCAAATACGGGGCGTATTGTGTCAAATTTTTGAACCTTGATTAAAGGTTATTTTGGGTTGCAAACCATAGTGGATGTAGGCAATAAGGCCAAAATATGTAAATCCCAGTGTTTAGGAAATCAGATCAGACCGGTTGGTCTAACCGAATGAACCATGACCCAAAATCTTAGATGGTTCAGTCACACCCTAATAACCATATTTGCTAAAAACCCAATGAAAACCAAATGACCGACAGGTTTAAAAAACTAGTGAACCGGTCCCAACTTCATGAAATTGCCTGCTGGGTCCTTAAATAATTGAAATTTTAAAATGTGTTTAACAAGACTTAAACCCATAACATCTTATTTTCTTTCATATATTACTTAATTACCACTAGCCTACCTCTTTATTTATATTAATTGATGACTCTTGATTGTACATTTACTTTATTATGCATGTATTTTAAAGAAAATGTAAATTAAGAGACTTAAATCCTAGTCATTTGCTTTAAAAATTAAAGAACTTGCCATATTCATCATAATTCAACCTCTAGTTTGACCATAGCTGAACATCTAACCTATGAACCTCTCCCTTCTCCGGTTCTATGCTCGATCTAGTTCTCTGAACATTAGTAAATTCTTTGTGTAAATGGTGGTGATTGTTTTTTCTTGTCTTCGTTTGGATATTAATTATTTTTGTTGCTATTTAATTTTCTTAGTTATTATTTTGTTTCCAATACTTTGTGGTTTCATCTTATGGGTAGTTGTTTTGAGACCAACAAAGTGATATCAAAAGGAATGAGTTGTTGATTCCAAATTGAGAAGTTTTATGTTAAAGACAATTTAATCTATTTTAAAAAAGGGTGAAGGACATATTGGTTCAATAAGTCTGGTTGAAGCATTGAAAAGAAAGAATGGGAAACTAGAAGACAAGGATGTTGATTGGGAGGATATTGATGAGTCGAGGTATGTTTAAAAACAAGCTAGATTTGAAACAACATTTATACAAGTTGAAGATGAAAGAAAGTGGGAATCTCCCATAACATTTAAATGAGTTCAATAATATTTTGTGTTAACTAGGAAGGTTGATGTCAAGGTGG